AGACAGCCTAAGAGTTGGCGTAATAGAGTGGTTAACATGGCAGGGGCATTCATTGATTTCCGGTCTGCATTTAATTCATATAGCTAAGACGGACTAGGCTAGGTGATGTGATCAATCGATGGCGAGCCACTATTGACCTGGATCCCATTCCCATGGCTGAGGGGCCAAGATTTGTAGAGACCCTTAATATCCCTTTCACCTACTGCTGGTCTCCAGCTCTGGTACCAAAGCCCTGGGACTGGGCTGATATATTAGTAAGTACTCTATTGCGCTCTTTACAAAGTATACTCATAATAAGAGATGTGTGTGGGTTTGTTTTCCAGCAACCACCATCCTACTAACTACCAACAGATTTGCAGCAATTTCTTGCTTCTGGCTAGAGTTGCATTTGGTGTGAGTTCGGGCGAGTTCAATCTTAGTTGGCACCAAACCGCTGCGGTTTTGGGTCCAAATTTTAGAACTCAGAACTAGATTAAACCGAATCTGGGGTTGGTTGCAGTTTTCACTGTAAAATCTGCTGCTAGGCCTAGGTAGGTATAGTGGGGCCTATACTAACTAACCATGGTTAGATTCAGTTTAATTTTAAGTTGGTTAAACTATAAATTTTAACTATTTTAACCCTTACTATTCCCCCCAGGGCACCCCTCTGAGGCCCCCTAACAAGCATACTTATAAAAAATCATGATTTTTTATATGAAATATATAGTAATTATAGTCATTCTAATCCAACCTATGATCGAAATGATTATTCCCTTATATCTCACTAACCACTAGATATTTTTAAATAATATTAACATCACTAGGTAGCCCTTAATCCAGGCTATCTAGTGATATTAATATCATTCAAAAATATTTAGAATTTAATGATTTCTAGGTAAACAGTGCGGGTTGGTTAAACCTAACCCAAAAAGTTGTAAAAACCAAAAACCGGGCAAAAGTAAATTAAGAACAAGACGAATACGAGCAAAAAACTGAAAGAAGAACAAAGAGATTGAGTGAAGCTTCTTTAGACACTTCTGAAGCCACTATACATAGAAAGCCTCCGCATTTGCGAGAAGAAACTCATAAGAGTCAGATCTAAAGTCATCTGCAAGGATCGCTGACGAGTCCGCGAAAAATTGCATCAAAGTTTGGTTCTCCGACCACTGCGGCCAGGTTGAATAGGATGCCGCCGCATTGGGGTCCAAGTTCTGAACAAAGGAGAAATAGTAGGACCGAATTGCCCTTGCTGCGTAATTAGGCAGGATCCCATAGAACACCTGCAATATATCACCAGCATGAAATGAACCCAGGAAAGGGGTGCCATAATCATAGGATGCTAGGTATGACCAGGTACGGATATTTGGCTTGACTTGTGTTGAGTACTCCAGCAAAGCCCGGCGAGTGAGAGTGAAAGTAAGGTCTCCTAGAATAGCAGCAAGACGTTTGTACTGGGGGTACCAGTTGTTAAGGTGACCAGTGCGAAATGGAGAACCATCAGGCGCCGTGTCCGGATAGTTAGCAATGAGGCCATCAATCTGGTCAGATGTGGCGTTGTGAAAATAATATTGCTTTAGATATTCGGCAATTTCCTCGGTTGTAGTAATATTAGACTGGAAGAGCGCAAGAAGGGTGCCTTCATCCTCCTGGTCGCCGATAATAAAAGGGACGTCTGTGTATTTCCCCGCTCTTGCCAGCTTGTCAGGCGAGTCTGACAAGATAGTTCCATCCGGGCGAGGTAAATATGAGAGTGCGACCCCACTATAGCTGAGAAAGGCAGGAACAGAATTTGCTGCATTAAGGAAGGTGGTGTAGTCCAAGGCACGGAGACACGCGAGCGTGTCTTTGGCTGAAGTGCATCCAGCAGCTGCCACAACCGAATCGTAAACAGCCTGGCCCTTGATGCCGTCTACACGTTCAGCCGGGACGACACTACCAGAGTTCATTATAGCCCCGCGGAAGAGGGGCTTGCCGTTATAAGTATTGTTCCCGTCGTAGAGCGCCATCTGGTCAAACACTGAGATAGACCCAGCAGATTCGCCCCAGATGGTCACCTTGTCAGGGTCACCGCCAAAGGCCTCAATATTATCAGCAACCCATTTGAGGCCGAGCCGTTGATCTAGTAGACCAAGGTTCGCAGATCCATCTTGGAGGATTTCTTTGCCTGGCATAAAACCGAAGCCACCCAGACGGTAGTTCACTGCCACGAAGATCATTGGCATATTCGTATCGATTGAATTGGAAACTAGGGACGACCCATCGTACATAGCGGTGGAGCCAAATTCAAATCCGCCCCCGTAGATCCAAAAGAGGACGGGTAGCCGAGATTCCGATGTAGTTCCTTGTGGCCTAATGATATTCAAAGTGAGGCAATCTTCTCCAGCATTTGTAACCTCCTGAAAGAAAGGCAGGTTGAGGGTTCCCCCAACCAGAGAGACTAGAAGATCTTTGGATTCGTTGCTGACATAAAACTGAGGGCAGGACCGCGGGGTTCCGGTCGCCTGGATAGTCCCCAAGGACGTCTCGATAGGATGAGGGGGCTTTAGACGCAACGTGCCCGTCGGAGGCATTGCGAATGGGATGCCGTCAAAGCGTTCTAGCCCATGGCTGCTCTGGCCGACAATGGTAGCTATTGGTGATGAAATAGTAACAGTGGGTTTCGCGTCTCGTCGGGTAGGAGAAGCCAGTACAACTGGTAGCAGGGCGCAGAGAGTGAACAAATGATTATACATGATGTGAGCCTGACAACTCGGAAAATTCTTCCTAGGACAATCAAGTTGGGTGAGCTGTAAAAACGAAGTCTAGCCGCATTTTATACCCTAAGGCCGCCGGCTTAATCTATGCCAGGAGTTCACATGGTCCCTCGGACCAAAAGCTTTGTGTCTTATTTTCCATGCCAAAATCGGGGGAAATTACGACCCAAACCTTATCATGCGTCTGGTGTTGACACCCTCATATGAGGACATGCGAGCTATGGTAACGGGCTTACAGAAATCTAAATGCTAGTGCTGCTAATAGCCACTCAAAAAATAGAAGGTGCTATCTACATAGAATACACTTATGGCCGTCTCGCCTGTAGTACATTTAACGGCACTGGTAGCTGGAAGGAGCTTCGGAGGAGGTGTGGCTTCGACAGTAGAGACCGTCGAGAGCCTAAACTCCGGCGAATTGGGGCGATCAAAATATAATGGTTCGATTTCAGTTTCCTTGGCTAACCTGGTAATCTAGACATCTAGTCTGCTGTAGTGGTCGCCTACGTAATCTAGACATCTAGTCTGCTGTAGTCGTCGCCTACGATCAGATGCCCCAGCTACTTTCGTTGACCCCGGTGGGTTTATTAGTATGGCTTTTATTCGCACGCTATCAGGGATCATGTATTGGTCTCCGGCCGATATCTTGCTGCTGATCTTCATAATAATCAAGTCTTCTACCTATGGGAGCAGGCAGTCATCTGTTTTAAACCATCGTTAACTATTACAGCATTGCTCTTCAGTCCGCCTGTGCAAACAAAGCCGCTGGGTTCAACCAGAGTAATATGCCTTCGCCCGTATAAATGCCAATCATAAGGACCTAAATAGATCTAACTATATTAAGAAGTCGTTGATAGTCACACGATCGGTAATTATGGTTCGAAACAGTTCTCACCGAGTAATTAATGGAACTATTTAATTCTCGCCATGAAGTAGAGTCTTTTTGATTTATCACCTTATACCCATGTACGTCTTAGATTTCGCAAATTTTAGTATAATATACTAAAAGATACTGGTATATTATATATTTTATTAATATACGATGGTGTATAGAGGGTGCGAACGTCAAACGCAGAGAGTGTTGTAGTAGTAGTATTAGTAGTAAACATGCTGAGGCGGCAATTGAGATGAACCGAGGTCGGGGTTAGATTGTTCTAATTTGCGTTCGTATCCGCGCGCAGATTAGTTCATATGTAACCTGTGTACACTCGGATATAGCCATAGCGGCTAGTAAAAAGCGGGAACGATATAGATTACTTCTTCTCAGCGACAAAGATCTTCAGGAGGAAGCGGCAATTGTAGAGGGCTGCAGCTGCCGATGGCACAGCGTTAGTCTTGAAAGAGAAGGGAGATCAACCAGACCACGTAATTAACTATACCGGTTGAGGTTCATCTCCTGGTGGGCCCAAGGGTCTGGCGAATAGCGAAATGCGGCAAGCCGCAGCCTATTTACTCTATTTTAAGTTTATTAGGTGACTTAAAGCGAGGCTTATTATCTCCCCGCAAAAAAAAAAGTTTAAAATAAAAGGACGACTGGCGGATAAGATAGGAGTAGGATGTAATAGACAAATCAGGACAAAGTACTGTGTACATTGGGCAGGACTTGTTTCAGCCCCCTCTCCGGCTGCGTGACTTCTTCATCACATGTTTCTGTAGTCGCAAGACCGGCCGACGTCTCTTTTGGCCATGTTAAGTTCTGGCACCCTTTTGCAACCAGACAAAGGAGACTGGGCCCTTCTAGTCCTGGAATGGAAGTACTTGTGCACATCGACAGATTAGCCGTGTCTGGATACCGGGGAAGCGGAGAAATGCAGCAGGCGATCGAGACATCCTTGCGATTCCCGCGTCTCTTACTTCGCATTCAACCCACCCCTCACCGATGTGCCAGGCCAGTGTCTAATAGTAGCACAACGCCGATCTTGATCGGCCTACCGCTGCCTTCGGCCAAGCGTCTTCTACTAGAGACGATGATTCTGATGGCATGCAACAGGGACACGCATGCAAAAGAAACGTTGCGCGTATACGGGCTGTGACCAGCAATGCACCAGATGTATGAAATGCCTTGGTACAGCAGTGCCTGCGCTGTCCCAACTCCGACCTGTTTGTAGATGCTCGGGGAAAAGTATCGTATTGCAGAGACTCCTGTCATCTGGACGGACGCCTGTATGGCCGTGACAAGAACTAATCGCCGAAAAGATGCCGGGTCCTTGAAGAGCTCGTATGGACTCGAAGCGCCATTTTCTTTCTCATGTTGGATTGTGCGCCTGATCTGCTCATATTCTGCGAGAACCCATGTGTTGTTAAGATCATTGTTAGAGTGAAGTCTCGCAAGCGTTTGGAGCGCCTCCTGCTGTCGGTCGTGATCCATGAGCCAACGGGGCGACTCTGGGAATAGACTTATCAGGGCTCCTAAAATGCCGGTCTGGATGATCTGGATGCCGAGAGGCACGCGCCACTAATCTATCACTGACAAAATTGCTAACCATCCCGTGTGCGATAAACACTAGAGAGCATTAAAGCCCCCTTTCATGTGAGAGTTGCTTGCGCATCAGGAATAATAGGATGGTCTAGGTATACCCGCAGTCGTAGCCCCTAACCCAATGAAGAGCGGTTGCAGCCCTGTCAGACGTCCGCGAATAGCAGGATGCGCAATCTCGGCTTGATACAATGGGATGGTCATCACGAGAACGCCCACACCGAGACCTGCAATCAACTGGCCGCTGTAAAGACATCTGAGGTTCTTGGCAGATGTATGCAAGGCGCCGCCAAGACAGAAGATCAAAGAACCCAAGATGATGGTCCAGTGGCGACCGAGGCGATTAGCAGCGATGCCTGCCACAACAGCACTGAAGAAGGCTCCGCCCGTGAAGACGGACACAACAGCCACGCTAAAGGAGAAGCTTGATCAGCTGGTGTCGACTAGTGGGCAAACGGGCTAGGAGCTGGTGACAAACACTTACATTTCATTGACCGATGGGTTATAGACCGTAAAGCGGGACCAAAGCCGGTGCTCTTTTGGCTCATCCAGGCCTTCTTATTACTACGCCATTTACACCCTAGATTCTCTGGGTTAATCACTTTGATATGGTGGTTTGATTTTGGACACGTCTTCGATTGCTTATATCAAAGAGATTGCTAATAGTCGGGTCGCTTATATCCGTGGTCTATTAATATAATAAAACAGTATTATTTCTGCTTTGACCTACTCCACCTCGCTAACCTTTGATACACGGTCGACGGTAGCTACACCAGTGCGAAAGCTTCTGTGGAGTCTGATTGCCAGACCGTTTGCTTGACGGTAGTGTGTATGTATATTTTTGGTGGAGAGGAGGGAGAAGTCAGTTGCATAGCATTTGATGCTCGGGACTTTCTGGATTTGGAGTTTCGAGAACCGTATTTCTTTAGTAGAGGACGAAGGGTGGGGATAGAAGCACACATCACCGCGAGGTTGACTTCGACCAAGATCCACAGCCAGATGTCGTAGCCGTCCCCTGGAAGTAATTAGCTGACTTTCATTACTAATGATACGGCTGGAGAACGAACAGGTGATGTCGTAAGTTATATTTAGGGTGCGATAGGAATAGTAAACCCGGACGGCTGATGCTACACACGCTCTTCAATTGCTTTAGTAACGTGTCATACTCTGGGGATGAGTCGAAAGAACTAATGCGTACAGTATTCCTATGTCCATCACCGTAATCAGGACCAACCGCTCGCGTATTGGGAGCTTGAGCATCCACAGGACTCGCATGGGAAGAATCAAGACCATGAGATCGGTAGCAAGATTCGTTATGGAAAAGGAGAACGTCGACGCGCTCTGATTTATACAATTCGGTGGATTGAATTGGATAGATTCCCAGTAGTCCTTGAGCGGTTTGCATGCAAGGAAAAGGGCGATCATGTATGCTAGAAAGCTCAATTATTAAGGGCTTCCAACGAGGCGATCTCGTTATCCTTACCAAGGGCCCATGATACAATCAACGCGACCATGGCCCATGTCAGCCCTCTGAACAGAGGCTGTGTGAAAAAGCGCAGATAGGAGATGAGGAGCGAAAGCTTGACCAATGCCATTATGATGACAAGCAACAGCTGATTAAACCAGCTTGTCTGTGTCCACGTTAGATTCCGAATTTGGCCAAACGCAAGCTGGGTTCGAGTACCATCAATGTCGGCTTTGACCACTCCGGCTTGACATCCCAAATATGGTGGCCTGCACCAGAATCATGAGACATTATTCGATCAGACAAAGCACAGGATACTGACCCCATCCGTATGTGGTCCCAAGATTGGCGGTGACGGTGGAACATACTATAAAGGCCTGTTATCACACATCAGCCGGAAGCCGCCTCAGTACATCTGCAAGGAGTCATACAATGGCGAGCACCATCAGCCAGTCATCCCACCCGGCTTTGTTCTTTATAAACAAGCGAACCCATATGCGGAGTACTACAATTACCGTACTCAGTATCAAAAGAATGATCCCAACTATGAGTAGCTGTGGACCCTGGTACTTGGGGTTTTCATAATTTGGTTTTGGCCACGACGCCACGACCGCAGCAGAAGCATTCCTCATGCTGGCGGACAAGCGACGTGTTGCTCTCGCACACAGTCGCTAGGACATGATACAGTCGTTTTGATGAAGTACCTCTAGGAATGCAAATTGAGGTATCGTGCCGACGCCAGTTTCTTGCACGGTATGTGCAGGTGGCGACAGAGAGCTGGGGGGTGTTCATCATTTTGAACTCTTCTTGACCAGGCGTTCGGAGCATGTCTGGGAACCGGAGGGACCACGGGCCCCCAGATGTGCGGGGAACGCGTCATCAACCTGGTGGCGTTTGTGGCCACAAATGAAATGCCCGCCATTATGCTTTTTGCTAGGCTGGGAGGGGACCAATAGGGCTGGAATAGACTGTTAGGCATCGCCTGGAAATGTCCAGGATGCTATTCCTCAGTTAAATACCCCTGCTTGTGGCTTCATACTACTCTTTGTTGATAGGCCCCTGCAAATAACAATAGTAGATAGCATGATTATTATTGAACGCCAGTACCATGGCGGGATAGAAAGGATCTAGGTAGTGCTGACGCCGTTGTTTGAGTCTGGGATGGTGGACTTGGACTGCTGAAAACTCCGGGGGAGCGAAACATGCGCCAGTGCAATCGATCATACCCACTAGAGCAAAGCTTGCCCTAGTGATGTATGGGAATCGAGATATGCATTTGAAAAGGCTGTTATTCCACTACCGAGGATCTATGCCGCAGTGTCCTGGGTTTGCGTCGCTCCAGGCTACCTTTGCTCTGACAACAAGCTTAGCAGTGACGCGAAAAGGATTAGCGTGTTGGGGATTCTCGACTAAGAGTAGATGGTGAATATTACATAGCCAGTGCAAGGGCGGTTCTTCGAAGAATTCGGCCCATCCCACTTCGCCTATGAAAACCGTCCAGTGGTGCGATACCAGAGTGCAGAGACAATCCGTGACATCGGGATTTTACCAACAGGAGCGCCTTGAAGCTATACTCTCTTTGGAGAATGGAACGAGTACGAAGATGATTTGGCTATTAGAGGACCTTTTAGTGGAAAACCCCGCAGTGGCAAGGATCATATTTCTCGTACTCCTCGGCCCTCGGATACAAGCTTCGTACCTCGATGGGGGAACCGTGCACCGCCTCATCAGTGCACTAGATGGGGTTGGTATTATCAGTTTCGCTATCCTCATCTGGGAGGTGCGTCAATCATACTGGCCGCTATCGGTAAATGCCAGGGCAATACCACATTCTGTATTTCGTTTGAACCATCAGATCGCCAGAATCTACCATAGTTTCAACACGCCAATTTCAATGAGTCTACTTTGTTTAATGCTGTCCTTACCAATATCGCGTGTCCCATATATAGGTACTACGATATATAGCAAGATTGGAGGAATCAGACGTTCATTTCGTACGCATTTTGCGTATTTGCCTTTACCATCCATATACGACCCTATACAATCAAGGCAGAAGAGCTATCCATACCACGCTACTTCGCTTCAGGAAACGGCTGGGAGCAGAGATTGAGGATTTCCCGATGAGTCGAGACTTGACTTCAGACCTAATTATTTCCGCGGCTTGCAATCTGATACAGATACTGTAATGCAGTACATACAAGTCTAAACTGCAATCACCGAACATATTCACGAAATTACGCGTACTCGTCTTATAGTTTGGCTATGTTCTCAGCATTTCACACGATGTGGCGAGGAACTTCATGGGTACATAATCTATACATGGATACAGTCTCTGCTGATTCGCCAACAGGCATTGGAGTAGAGCGAGACGTGTGTGACCCTTGAGATTTTCGAGTCCCCTGCAAGGAGAAGCGGGTTCTCAACCCCCGTTTTCACTGAGCTTTGAGTTCACTTTAAGCTGGATTTGCAATCGTTCTACCTAAAGTACTAGGAGAGGAGAGCCGGTAGGACCTAATTATCCGGCTTATGCGCCTCCTAAAATGGTGTATGCGCTTACTCTACAAGATCTAGTAAAGCCTGAAAGTGGTCTGATCGCTCTATTGCTCGTTGTGACATTCCATTTCAGCATTTACTTACTTTTTAACCACGATAATGTCCAAAACTTTTTTGCTGGCGTGATGCTGCTATTTAGCACACTGTCACTGCTTCTGGCGGTCTCGCATCCTCATCCGTTTTACGCTCCAGTCTCAGATCATGAGAGTACTGGTTGGGCCCAAAGCAGATCACTCCAAAGCATCGTGACATGGGATGAGTATTCCATTTCTGTTCGGGGGGAGAGGCTACTCTTCCTCTCTGGTGAGTTTCACCCATTTCGGCTTCCTTCACCCGGTGTCTGGCTTGACGTCTTCTAGAAAATTCGAGCTTTGGGATAATCAGGAGTGTTATTTTACTTAGATTAGGCCCTGCTTGAAGGAGAACACAGAAAAATATGCCCTGACTGTGTCTTTGCAGTAGAGGATTCTTTAATGCTGTAAGATAAGCTGGTATTTACTTGATTGCGTGACCAGGCCTATATATTAATGTTAAAGTCTCTGGTGGAGGACTCCCAGGATGGCTTGAAAGGCTCTAAGGGCGTTTATAAACAACTAATAAGGATTACCTCAAGGCAATAACGCTGTATATACTTATAGTAGGTGGTGTCATTGCAAAGGCATAAGCAACTAATAGTGGGCTAGTAATACTGGTATAACCTGAGAATAAATACTCAATGTGCTTGAACATAACCAGTTATGTTTAAAGCAACAAGCTCATAGCAAATTTCGATACTGTCAATAGTGGCTGTCTTCAGAAAGAGTACATGGCCGAAATGCAGGGATTGTCGTTCCGTTCATTAGCAATGACGCCGTTCCTAAGGGTAACTGGGCAGCGGATGGACCAGCTAGAAAAGTCCATGATAGGGGATGCGTCCAACGAAGACAAGTTCTGCCAGGAAGATATCAGCTCTAGACTGGAAAGAGCAATCTGTCATTCAGAACTAACGAGGATTCTCAGCTCCAATCTGATGTGCAACTCTCGCATCCTCCAGTCAGGATTGGAGACTGAGGATAAGACAAGGACAGTGTTAAATATAATCAATGGCCAAGACTAAAATGTCATGTTCTGCACCTGATATGTAACTAATCAAAGAAATGATGTTCATGGTTGGATATAGAGTTGCATTTGGTGCAAGTTTGGGTGAGTTTAACCTGAGTTGGCACCGAACCGCTACGGTTTTGGGTCTAAATTTTTGAACTCAGAACCAAATCAAACCTAGTGTGATTTGGTTGCAGTTTCACCGTTAAAACCCCACTACTAGCCCTAGCTCGGTATAGCGAGGCCCCTACTAACCTATCTAGGCCAGCAGTATGCCGAGGCAATAACCAGAATTTTAATAGTTTTCAGAATTCAATCTCTCCTACCTTAGGCCAATACTTTAAACCTATTAAACAGGCTTATATAAAATTATGATTTCTTTATGGAATATATAATAATTATAGCTGTTTTAATCTATATTAGAAATATTGATTTAATATCTACTGATTTGAATGGGTGGTGGTTAAAAATATATTTAAATTATAGTGGGTATCACAGTATCAGAGCTTGGTGCCCTTATATATATATCTCCGCACCACTTTCATACCAATCTATAACTAAAGTGGTTATTCCCTTATATCTCAGCAACCACTAGGTATTTTGAATTGATATTTATATATTTAGATATCCTGATTTTGGGGCTATCTAGTGATATAAAAACTATTAGCTCAATCTGAGAAATTAGTAATTACTAAGCAAATGGGTTTTTTGCAGTTAACCGCAGACCCCCTAGAACTGACCCAGACCCGCCCCTAACCTGGTGCGATTCCCTAGGCTAGGCCCTGAGCCCGACCCCCCCGTTCGGTGAGGGTTGGGTTCGATTTTTGCGGGTCGGTTATGCAACTCTAGACCGTATATCTATTGATTCTGTACCTTTACTGTTAGAACCAACCAAACACGCGCCACCAAGGTGTTCTAATTACTTTATTATAGGGTATACTAGAACTAGCTGCCCTACGCGCCGTACTAGCTAGATCTAATAAAAATATATTGTTTTGGTTGATTTGGATGGCTTCAAACGTTCGAACGCGTCGAAATCAGATGAGGGGTGGCTCGGTTGGGAGTTATGTTAGTCAAGAGTAAATCCACGTGACTCAGCAAGCCTTTACTGCTCTCTGACCACTTTCTCCAGACGCTCTTTGTCCATTTCTGAAAACATGGTTATGCGACATCACCTGCGGATATAAGCTCGGGGCCAGTAGACAATTTAGTAAAGATTAAATAATATAATAATCAAAAAACTCCATCTCTAAACTACAGGGCTCTCAGCCTATCTAACAGCAGCTGGATTAGCGGCCTAGTATATGTTTTACTTAGTAAAGTTATCCTTCACTACTCGCGCACCCTTATCACCACCTCTCATCACCACTCTAAGCCATCTTTCAGAGTAGTGATGAGGAGTAATAAAGTCCTCACCCACATCACCAGCACCCGCGCTAAAATCATAAGGTCGCCTTTTCAGGGGAGGGAGGCTTTTTAAGAATTTACCGCGTTCAA